AGAATTATTTACAACTTATATCAATTGACTCAGTTTTTAACGCTGATTCCGAATCTGATATTAGTTTTGAACGAAGTTGTAGCTTTCTAACAAAACATTGCCTGAAGAAGGTCTCAAAATGCCCAAAAACTGCATCCAGAGACCAAATAGCCTAGATGTGTCTCAAATGATCAATAGTTTTGGGGTTTCCCAAATGCTTGATTTTGTAGCTAGTCAAAAGGACTATCGAGAGGCAAAAACTCGAACTCGATAGCTATTAATAATGGTGATTTATTAGGAAAATACTGATGTTTGTATCTCTGATATATCTCGTTATAGATTGATGAGGTTGCTTACGATCGTAATCTGCTAGATAGAAACACAAATCCATTGAAAACTAACTCTTCTTAGCCAATTTTCCAAGATAAACACGAATCTGAACTGAATTCCTATGATTTCTAAAGATATAATATAACTCTGATAATAGAGTCAGTGGTCATCGTATAGGATTGCATACAGTGTAGTCCATGCTAACTTAGCACTCGTGTATATTCTCCTTGCAATTTAGTGATAAAAAATACAGTGAGTATACCTTTTCACTTTTTGAAGTACAAATAACACTCGGATTTAAATCCGAGGTTTTCGCATTTATTTCCTTTACAATAGGTCCCAAGGAATACTTTTACAAATCAGAAGATCCACAATAAAATATCCAAAATCAACGAAAAATCAACTTATTCAACCTCAAGCATCACATAATTCCACTTCTATGGTATTATCAAAAAAAATGAACATTACAACCTATAAATATCTACTCCAACTGAAACTTTCCAAAAACATTAAAAATATTCTATCGAACTTTACCCCATGTGAAACGTTTTTGCTTTTATTGTAATAGGAAACTTTTTTTCTATATAAAGCTAAGGCTATTGCTAACTATGCAAATCTATTCACTACATTTCCCTAATTACTATATGAATAATGACTTTTTTCTATTTCTAGATGTATATCCAAAACATGATAAAGCGCCGAACATTACATTACACTCTCGTAGACACAGCATATGTTACAATATCACATCACAGAAACACAGGGTAAGCTACATTCAAAATCTATTTTTGACAGAATACTTAAGCAATATGACTACCTATATATCAGCGTCCTACTGTATCAGGTTTCCATCACTTCACAATTTCCCCCAAAGGTACGAACAAAGTGACTAAACTCACCTTTCGAAACTTAATACAACACGAAATAATCATTAACCTCTTCAACTTGATTAAATAAGTAAAAAAAAGAATAGTACTTCCTAATTAACAAAATAAGTTACTGATTACTACTAAAGACCAATTTATCAAAGAAATCTTCAAAACTTATTATATACGCTCTCGCGAACTATATAAAGGTATCATTCTAGACTTTGACATCATTTTTAGCTACAAATATTAAAAACCATGGGGGAATCTCTAACAAATTATCAGACATTCAATATTTCGTAACACCTTCTGATAAATTATTAATATTATGACTACTATTAGTTCTTGAGAGTTCTTATAACTCTTGACTACAGTTGTACATAGTAGAAGAAAAATTTCATATTTTACTATCATATATTAAGCAATTGATAAGTACTTTATTAGCACTTGTCGAAACCGGTCTTGCTAGCTAATATGATTGAAATTATATCACTATGATATACTTATTCAACACACCCA